GTAAGGTCTCTCTCGTCCTGCAGTGTGCGTGTTGTAGAGTTTTCTCAAAGTTTCCCAAGACTCGCGCTCTCCTACTTACTTGGCATGCTTGATGGCTCCATCCAGGGTGCTGAAGAGGGCACCGCATTCCTCCACGACACAATGGAAATGCACCTTATGGAGAAAGTCGCACTGTGCATCGCAGAAATCCTTGGTACCAAACCTGGCCAAAGCAGACAAGCAGGCATCTTATGGAAGGCCCCAGAAGAGAAGCCGTGTTGGAACAGACATATTTTCCTTGTTTTTCAACTCTACTACCATTCTGTTTTCTAACGTCAGTGTCCCTGCTGCACAAACAGCACTGCTGGCATTGTTGCGTGATTATTGCTTGTTATATAGATGTGAACATGCAGAACAAGAAACCTAATTTCTCTCCAATTGAACTTGACCGAGAAACTCCCATTCACTTTTAGTGGGAGCAAAATACAGAACTACTCTGAAACAAAAGATGAAAATCATTAGTGTTCTTGAGTGCCTATGTACAAAAGCCTAGGTTCTGAGGAACGATCAAAGGTTAGTAAATTAAGGGAAATCCAGACCAAGAGGACACTGCTGAAACATTACAGGTCTTTTTTTTTTCTTGTTTCAATCCACTGGGAGTAGCAAAAGGGAAGAAACAACAGTGGTTCAAGGGAACTTAGATCCAGAATCCACCCGCCCCCCACCTTCAAACAACAGGGTATCACATACATGGGAGAGACGAAGTGTCGCCTATATAGCAATTACAGCCTAGTACGCATAAATACTGAAAAGCACAGTCCCTGAAGTACAGAAGAAACAATGCTGCAATGCAAAAACCAGAGCAAAAGCCATCATCTAAGACATGCCTTTTGTCATCTTGGGGGAAACAGTCAAGAGGGCAAAAACAACTAAGCAGGGTTTCACTGCTCATCCACTGCTGAGATTCTCCAGATTTAGTAAGAGTAGCACAAATACATGTGATTTCAGGCAACTCCAGAATCATAGGGAATCGAGAAATCGAGTAAAAAACACTAGCAGGAAGGTTTTGAAACTTGACAGGGGAATCTTGCATAATTAAGATACAACAAACTACAATTGCTCTGATGAGCAGGAAAGCAAGAAACAAACAGCAGCCTGTGTGTGGTCCCAGGAGGGACCAGGTAAAAGGTAAAGAAAAAAAACTTGTACTGGAAAAGGAAGGTCAGTGGATATAGAATACACGCAGTCAGTTAAGGCTTGCAGGGAGAAAATGAAGGAAAGTAAAGGTGTGGTAAGAGAGAAGAAACCAGATTACTGCAAGCTAAAGGGGTTGTTTTACCAAGGACGAGAGGTATTGTACTTAGAAAGAAGGTCCAATAAAAAAGGAAGGTGATGAGTCAAAAATGGCTGCCTTATAAAATTTGCTTTGCATAGGAAAACTAAAGACAAAACAGACAATTAGGGATAAAATGAAGACCTTCTCGAAGAGCAGATAAAGGGACTGGTTGGAAAATATAAATATGCACAAATCAGCCAGTCTGGATGATGTATGTCCTGAAGCGCAACAGAAATTAACTCACAAACTGATTGCATTACTATTTGCTACTTTTTAAGCCATAGAGAAGATGGAGGTAGTAGGAAATTGGCAAAAAAAAAAAAAATTTAAAAATCTAGGTACTGATTCTTTCAGGGAGAAAAAAGACGAGTGATCTTTGGCAATTATCATACCTCTAGTCTTAACTTCTCCTTCCAGTAAAGTAATGGAACAAATATTAAGAGGGAGGAGAAAATCATTAAACATCTAGAGGATAAAGGAACCATGAGCAATAAACAGCATCAGGATTATAAAGAATAAATCTTGCCAGACAAATTTAATTGCTTTTTTTGATAGAATTACAAAATTAGTGGATGAAGGGATGCAATATATTTGGATTTTAGTAAAGCATTTTGATACAGTCTCGCATATGCTTAGAATTAATTCAAATTGGCCTGGATGTGAATGCTACCTCATGGATTGAAAACTGGCTGAAGGACCGTAAACAAAGGCTAATGACAAACAGCAACATATTGAGCTGGGAGGAGGTATCTTGTGAACGCTGCAAGGACGACTTTGGTTAGGTCTGAGCTTATTTAACATCTTGATTAGTAATCTAGGAGAAAGAGTAAACAGCGTGTTAATGAAATTCACAGAAGCTACTAAACTGGGAGGAGTTGGCAACACCAGTGCAAGAGGAGAAAAATAACACAGAGAGGCCTTGCAAGACAAGGGAGAAGGTTCAGAATACAAGAGTCACATTTGGAAACACATAGCTAATACATCTGGGGGTGGGGGGTGTATTTTTATACATAGGGGACTCATGAGAGCAACATTAAAAGCAATCCTGTGTAACAGTGGATGGTAAACATGATACGTATACATTCTGCAGTATAGATGCAAACAAGGTAGCATAATTGTGAGCTGCATATATGGAGGCAGGAAGCTTGTTAAATCTGGTGTGGTGCTACAGGAATGGCAGCCCAATTCTGCACCCATGCAGGGAACGGCAAGAACGACAACAGCAACAACATGATCAGCAGGCTGAAGGGACTAATTCACAAAGTCAGATTAAAGGAAGTAAATAGGCTTGGTTAAATGGTATGCTAAAAGTCTGTGACTATCTGAAGGGGGTGGACTCCAATTGCGGAGAGGAATTATTCGCTGTGGTTCAAGGGGATATAACCAGGAGAACTGCAACAAAATTACAAAAAGGGAAATTCGGGCAGCATACCATGAAAAAAATAGTGACACTGAAACATATTAGGTGGTAGAATACTGCTCCCAGAGACAAGAAAATAGCCATGCTGCTTGGCATAATTAAAACTAGGCTGGACAAAATGCAAATGGACTGCAGGGAAGGATCTCACACTGGCCAGGGGCACATGGACTAAAAGACTTTCTAGTCTTCTCCATTGAAGTCTGTGATTTACAAAGTATCCACAGGCATTTGTAGGCAACTATCTGTGTCAGAGCACAAACCCCTATGTGTCTGCCTGGGTGTATCTGTGTATGCTCAAAGCATGTGTCTGTCTGGGCATGTATGTGCATGTGTCTGTGTGGGTGAGTTTTGTATCTGTTCCATTTTCCTTTCAAGCCTCCTTGTCTACAACAAAAACAGCAGAAACTATCCCAGTTCCCATACCCCTTATACTGCTTATTTTCTTTCAGTGGCCTACTCCTATGATCAGAAGAACTGCCACAGCAAGCATTTTAAGGCTTCTGTGACCTGTGCGTAATAACTAAACATGGTCCAACAGAAGTTCAGTGCTAAGAGCAAGCTGCAGTGGGTCCCCTGGACTTGCAGACTTGGGGATATAAAGAGGAGCCTAAGATGAAGTCTAGGCTAACAGTACTACGTGAAGATCTGTGCTTGTAGTTGGCTCTCAAGATCCCTTTGCAAAATAATTCTATGTGGACAGGTGTTTCTTATAGGACATTAACACCTACTGCAGGCAGCCCAGGACTGAGGACTAAATGCACTCCAGAAGGTGATCAGCATACCACAGAAGTAGGCCTTTAAATTCAAGAGAACTCTGCATTCAAGCGTGCACTAATCAGCCAGACACTTTGCAAAGGAAATAATTTTCCCTTTCCTCTATCCCCAGTTCTATGCTCTCCTTACCGGTGCAGGTACATCTTCCACGGCTCAGAGAGCTTCTCCTGGACAAGTGCTTTCACTGCCTTGCCCAAGTACTGTGTTGGCTCTCCAGCCCCAGCCTGGTTGCCATCTCCTTCTGTCTTAATGTTCCGCAGGTTGCCAAGGCTGGCACTGGTCTTTGACATCTGGAACAAGAACATAGACACCGCATCAAGCCCAGCACACAGCAGCGGACACTGCCAGTCTGGATACCCTCAAGACTGCCCACAGAAAGCTATGTCTTTGAAGATTAAGAGAGAGGACAAGAAGTCTGCACAGGCTGCCTAAACCGCATCAGCAAAACTTAGTAACACCTCACTCTTCTGCATCCTCCACCCAACTACCACAAAGTACTCGGGTGCCCATCTAATATTCATGGCTCTTGTGTAAAGTAATGAAGCAGCACGTCTGTTTTATACATGGGGAAACTGAGGTGAAGAGAGACATACCTTGAGTATGGAAAAGGTGTGCAGGCTTAAACATTAATAACCCTATAGCTCCTACAATATGTTGGTCTCTTAGTACAGAGCTAGTGATAGAACTGGTAAGCTCTAGTTTATTTAGAATCATCTTATCCCAGCCACAAGGACGTCTCCTTCTTTAAAGTGATCGGGCATGTTTGGGGGTGGGAGGGGGGAAATCTTATTCAACTGGGGAAAAATTTTGGCTCCACTTAAGTTCCTGGAAAATTCTTACTGACTTCAATAAAGAAATTATATCGCTTTCTGTGCTAAATGGACATACCCTCCACAAAGCAGGACGTGGACTCACAATTTGCTTTGTGTGAAAGGCTTCAAATAGATTCTACACAGAGAAGGTTTACAGGTCCAGGCATATGATGTGCAGGACAGAAAAAAGAAGTTACTCAAGAGTGCTTAGAGAGAAAATTTTCTTTCAGAATAAACGCGCAATTTCCCAGACCCTTTCGTGCTTTTTTGTGCTCTCAGTTACCTCCAGTAACAACAGTGAAATTCACAGCATGAATAAAATGCAGGATTGGGCCCAATACTTGCATTATAAACTCCACCCACTTAAGGATCTTGAAGCCCTTTATAAATATCAGTTAATTAAGCCTGACAGCCCCCCTAAATAAACTGCAATACGCTACAGGAACCCTGGCTATATGAGGCTCTCTTAATGCCCCCTGAAGGTAAAGCCCCTGCTGCTATGTGGAGACTGCAGCTCTTTATGGCTGGAGTCAGAAATCCAGGTTGTCTTTTTCCATTGGCGTTTGTTGGGCATTCAATTTCTGTAAAGGGTTCTTTTTCCTAGACAAATAATGAAGGATTCCTCCATGAACAGAAACTATGCAGCAAGAGGAAGAAGCAAGCGTGATGTGTTCCTGAGCACACTGAGCTTGATTCTGCAATCCTTAGTCTTGGAATAGGCTCCTTCAAATCAGTGAGCTCTATTCTTTGCTGGCTTATGTCATCAGTTAATCTTATTCCTTCTTTAAAAAAGGAACAAACCTGAAGAACTTGTATTTTGTACCTGTGCTACACTTATTTTGCACGACATAAAGAATCTTATGCAGGGCTGCACACAAACAGATGTTTATTTCTAAGCACATGCGTAAATCTTATATTCTCCTGGAGATTTTCAAGTGAAGTATCTATTGAAACAGAATTTCCCCGAGCTGGGGCCTTCAGAATGACTCAGGACCCCAGACAGCAGACTTACTAAATAGATTTACTCACTAGAGAAAGAGCTGCTATTTGGAATCACTAAAGGGACAATACGCAGGAATGGATAAGAAATTAAGTTTAAAAGGGAATATCAAAAACCCAGTGTAACAGAGAACCAATGGAGGAGAAAAGTGGCATAAGGATAAACACAGAAATTAAACAACACAGAGAAAAAAGAGGGATGAAATAAGAGAGAAAGGAGGCGAGAGATTACTAGGCAAAGTCACTTTGCCCTCTCTTGAGGGTTATATGGCCTTGATGCACGTAACGCCCAGAGCCAAGGGGATGGCAATAGTTATGCCTGTAAAACCTATCACACAGTAGAATATTAAAGCATGGCTCAAAGGCTGCCCTGATCTCTACTGCAGTTGTATACAACAGCAAAATTAATCTTGGTACAGTAGAATTTATCATGTGAAAGGGAAATATATATTTGAGATAATGTATCATTTAAGGAAAAAGTAAGGAAAAAGAAACCGTGCATTATCTAAAATAAATATAGAACATGGTAAAGGCGGCTCTGTTGGACACCGTTACACCAGAAAGACAGAAATTGATGATTTTGGCTCAAAACTTCTAATTTTTTTCTTCTCTTTCCACAAAAACCAATGATTCTCCTCCCCCAATGAAAAAAAATGTTTTTGAGTAAATAAACAAAATGAGTAACTGTAAAAAGAGAGCGCGAGAGAAGTTGCCAGGTTCTAGAAATAAAAAGGGGGGGCGGATATCTTTCGGAGCCCTCCTCTGTCTAGAAAGGATTAAAAAAAAAAAAAAAAAGGTGTCAGAGGCTGCAATATATTTCTTCAGCCAGTTCATTAAATTAATTCGTAAGCAGTGGCTCTGAAATTATACCCGATGAAAAATGGTCTCAAAATTTAAATGGTACAAACTCATCTTATTAGAGGCAAAACATTAAAAAACAAACGCATCTCTTCCCCCCCTCCCCGCCATCGCAGCTTTAATTTCTCTTGGTGGGGGGAATGAAAGGCGTTTGATGGATGGCTCTTACCTTATTCATAAGCGAGGATAAAAGAGATGAATTTGCCGAGACTGTGTGGCCATTTGATTCATTACTGGAACACACAAACCAACAGGGTTTAGTTAAGATGTGCACAGGGACTGTGAGCACTGAGATTAATCCTTCTCCCTTCAAGCTGCCTCACTCCTCACCTGCTACGTCCGGAGGAAGAGAATGATGCCCACCCTCCCTTGAGCAGGCCAAACTCTTTTAGTTGTGATAGCCAAGATGGAGAGAAAGAGGGTCCCAAGTTTGCAGAAATTAGTTCTTTCAGCTATTAAACAGTCCAGACTTCTTCCTCCAGTGTCCACACCATCACTTTTTTATTAGCTGACTCACAACCCACCCCATGTTTTACTCCTTCATCCCATTAGAACTTTCAAAAATATACCACAAAACCAGGGGGGATGCTGATGGAAGACTCATACTGCCAGGGACACAGGCCCCCTCGGCAGCAGAGGAGAAGGCAAGGCAACAATCCTCATGGCCACAGCTACGCATGCTGAAAGGCAACCTTAGTATTTCGCATGCACCACTAATAGTTCTAGTTGACTACAAGTGCTGAGGTCCCAAATTGAGTCTTGTTTAAATAAAGTATGGAAAGGAACGTATACAAAGGTCAAAGTGGAGCAGGCTCACTTATCCCCAGTATCAGTTCCTCGTCAGTTTTTCCATACAGGACAATCCCCAAACACTCCTATTCTCAGTAGAGATGCTGGACAAAGGGGACGCGCTTTGAGATAGGTGCATTGACATCTGCGCAAGTGCAAAGATTCATCACCATAACTATAGATTAGCACATGCCAGACCCAGACCAGAGTTAGCCTGACACCCAATTGTTTTGTGTGTCCGGTTTCTCTGGAAGGTGCCTCTCTTAGACCTGATTCAATGCCCTATTACATCAGTGCTAATGCTCCTGCTAAAAGTGTGCTGAAGCGTGGCATTGGAGCAGCCTTCCATCAGCTCTTGATGAC